AAGCATTTGATGCTCAGAATCAACATTTTGAAATATGTTCAAAGCTGCCATCTTGTGGTAATATTTTATTCAACTTTTAGCAGATGTATTTAGCAGATACAAGCCTCCCTAAATCTGAAGACTAGAAGGAAAGAACATTGCAGAAATGCATTTTAGGACATAACCAAAGCCTGTTTTTTGAAACCTACAAAAAAAAGAATGCAAGAGTGCATTTCCATGTATAGTCTACTTAATCGATTAGTAACTGATCTTACTCATTTTACTAACAGTTTCTGTTCAAAATCCATAACAGATTTTATTCATTGTCCTTTCTTTCCCTCTTTTCAAAATTAAAAGTCTAATACTTCCTATTTTTGTTAAAATTTTTTTATTGATTTCAGAGAGGAAGGGAGAGGAAAAGAGAGATAGTAACACCAGGGATGAGAGAGAATCATTGACCAGCTGCCTCTTGCATGCCCTACACTGGATTCCACAGCACGGGCATGTGCCCTGACTGGGAATCCAACCATAACTTCCTGGTTCATAGGTAGACACTCAACCACTGAGCCATGTTGGCCGGGCTAAAGGTTCCTGTTTTATAGCAGAAAATTTTAAGAATAAACTTCTGCTTAGTGATCTACATTCTGAAATTAATCATTCTTTACTGAGATTTTCAGAAGAGTCACTCTCTTCTTTAAAACTTCCTTCCTCAAAGCCACAGTTAATAACTGTAGGGATCCTCTGCCCCACTCCTCTCCACACACAATCATACTTCCAGATACAATAATTTTCAGCTCTTCAAGTTGATTCTATTTTGCCTCTTTATTTCTAAATTGTATATTTCAACTTCTATTTCTTATCTTCAAAAATCAGAAGTAGCATCTTTTAACATTCTGTTGTGGATGATGAGGACTTGGCTTTTATCATAGCCCTTTTTATCAACTTTTCCAGCAGTTTACTTATCCTTCCAGGTTTCAACTTAATTTTCCCTTCCTCAGCTAATCTTCTCTAGTCACCCATCTAAATTAGATACCTTCTGACATATTTAAGGGGAGCATGCTGTGTTTCTTTCATACCACTGTAATTATCACATATCTTGATCGCTTGTTTATTTGTTGTGGTAGTCTTCAAGTTAATCCCAAATTAATTCTTTTCTATTCCTTACTATTATATTTTGATTTTATTCAGATTAGAATAGAGGGCCCCCTGGGAATACACATGGATGACCTTTAAATTAATGTCAGCTGAACTCGAAATGTAGGCAGAGCCACGCCTTGGGAACATGTTTCCCCAAAATGTTGGAGACTGTTATCAGTAGTGATTTCTTATCTTTATTCATGTGCTTGGAATGAGGAACAAATAGGACCTTGATTTACCCAGGTCTTTATGCTAAATCCCAGGAATGAGGGAATGAATAGGACCTGGGCACACCCAAAACTTCTTTGACCTTAAACCCCCTTTGGAAATAAGTAAATTCTGCTGTGTTGTCTGTGGTGGGTGTTGACTGTCTCTCCATCAGAGTGGCAGCCTCCACCTGGGTCCCAAATTGAATCTATTTCTGTGTCTTGGTCTCTTTTTTTCCCTTTAATTTCTTAATCCCCAGCTCCTCCACTCAGGAACCTGTCGTTTTCCGTGTGGGTCATGGAAAACAGAGAAACAGCCCCCTAGAGATTAGTATCCAGCAACAACGACGACGACGACAACAACAACAACAAACAACTCTTCAGTTTTTAATATTCATTTGCTATGTGATAAACTTCTAATGAGATACAGGCAGAATTCTTCAGAGGATATGTATTTTTGAATAGAAAGGAAATTTTCTGCCCGGTGTAGATATAACTCTGGAGGTGCAGCCCTCCAGATCTTTACATCCCTGACAGCATAAATAAGAGGAGTGGTGATGGAGAAAAGATAGAAGGAGACTGAGTCCTCGAAGGCATCATTGTGCTGCCATACCTACCTTGGGACCCTCTCCCTTTCAAACTGTCTCGTTTTTGAGAAAATAATGCATCTCCAGTAATCAATTTTGGTATTTTCATTCACTCTCTGTGTGGCCAGGAGCACTATGAAACTTGTTCATCCTTGTAGCATTGCATCAGGTATTCTTTTTTTTTTTTTTTTTAATATATTTTATTGATTTTGTACAGAGAGAAAGGGAGAGGGATAGAGAGCTAGAAACATCAATGAGAGAGAAACATCGATCAGCTGCCTCTTGCACACCCCCTTCTGGGGATATGCCTGCAACCAAGGTACATGCCCTTGAACGGAAACAAACCCGGGTCCCTTCAGTCCCCAAGCCGACACTATCCATGAGCCAGACCGGTTTTGGCTGCATCAGGTATTCTTAACCTCAGCATTATTGACATTTAGGTTGGATAATTTATTTTTATTTTTATTTTTATGAGAGGTGGACTGTTTAGTCCATTGTAAGATCTTTAGTAGCAACCCTGGTCTCTGCCCAGTAGATACCAGTAGCAACTCCACCTTCAAGATTCTCCTGGAGATAAATTGTCCTTCAATTGAGGATCATGACCTTTGTCGCTGGGGTTCAGTGCTCAGGATACAGGGGTCAATAGATGTTGACTATATTAATAAAGTTATTAATTAGTTGAATGTGAGGACTGGAAGGGATGGTAGAAGTCAAGGAGACTTTCAAGTTTCTCTCTTGGGCTAGTAATTGCAACATTGTATCATTTAAAAGATGAGGCACATTCCAGTTTATCAGTGTTCCCTTTAAACTGTGGCCTTAGCATTGAATGAATGCTCCATCTGTGAGTCAAACTCTACAAAGTTTTGTTTCTGTATTAATGAAAATCATTATATTAGCTCCTACATAGTTCTCCCCATCCCCTTATTTGATTGCTTAGCATCTTCCCTCATTATTGGTGTCATTGAACTATTGGCTTATATTGAACTTGAAATCCACTAAAATCTCCTGGCTGTTTTGTAAAGAATCCTGCTAATTCTTGCTTTCCTTTTCCTTTTAATTTTGCAGTTGTGATTTGGATGGGGCCAGTTTCTAACTATTTTTTTCTTTTAAACTTAGTCTATTTCATATCAGTTCTGTGGGTTGTTTTTTTGTTTTTTGTTTTTGTGTGTGTGTGTGTGTGTGTGTGTGTATGTGTGTGTGTTTTTTGTTGTTGTTAATATATTTAATTTTTTTTGTTTGTTTCACATAAGATCTGTCAGCTGGATTTCTCATTGGTTGGTTGATTAATAAAAGCTTTGACTTGTAAATGGCAAAGACCAAATACTTGATATTATTGGATATTCAAGGAGTTATCTCTGAACAAATATCTCATAACTAAATATTGGAACACTTATTTTAATAACCCAAAGCTGCTTCTTCCCTGCATTAAATTTTAAAGATCACGTGGAGCTGTAAATGAGCACTATCTCGAAAATCTAGGAATGAAGACGGAATGTGACTTCAGAGGACAGTACAGGCAGGTGCGGTCAGGCATTTTTACTCCTCTGTTAGACTATAAGCTTAGCTCAGTTGGTGGCATTGGCATGCAGTGGGTGCTTATGCAATAGGAAAGAATGGGTTTATGTGGTGTGGAATGTGTTTTCCAATGAACACTTAATATTAACAATTTTATTTACTATCTAAATATATAAATGTCTAACGTGTAAAGTGCCTCCTCGGGAGTTTGGGAGGCAGGGAGTTTGATCACCCGCTATGATGTGTGCTGACCACCAGGGGACAGTGCAGAAAGCAGGGAGGCTCCTGCTGGCAGCCAGAAGGCCCCAATTGGCCCTGATAACCAGCCAGGCCAAGGACCCTACCTGTACACAAATTTCATTCACTGGGTCTTTAGTGTTTTATAAGAGAACTGGAAGAATGAGAACAGTGGGAAATATCCAAGATCACAAATGAGTATTATTTGCAATGAATAATTTAGAATATTATAGAAAAAGTAATGGTTACCTGATCAAGATCATACAGAACTATAAAATAAATAGAAAAAAAAAAAGCCTTGAATGAAAGAAAAATAAAGCAACACATTTATGGATAAATTATCAAAACTATATTTATAAGATAATAGGTAAAGCTTTCTCTTATACTTAGAATTTATTAGAATTTCTGATTATGTTTTCAGACCAGTCATCTTTCTCTCATGACTTATTCAGTATTAACTAGTCTCTTCATCTCTACTCTTACCATTAACCAACATTATTTGCAAATATCACCACCAGCATCATCTTTATTATACACACTTTAATAATGACTCTCCCCCATTCCCTCTGACCTATAGAACAAATTCTAAATTTCTTAGGATTGCATATATAAGACACTGATTTTATTCCTAATTTCAGTTTCTACTCTTCCTCTGTCAAAACTGTGCTCTAAGCACACTGACCTACTTTATATTTTTAAATCTTTCATGCTTTTTCGAACTTCCCTGACTTTGCTAATGCTGTCACTCTTGCATGGAAAGCCCTTCTCAAACCTTGTATTTGGTAAATCCATTGGCATTCTTTGAGGCCCAAGTCATACGTGACCTTTTCTATTTTACATTTCTGACCATTTTGAAGAAGTTAGAGTCCCATTTATAATTCCACTTATATTACTTTAACTAATAAATGTGGCTTCCTTTACATCTGTTGGTCAGTGTCAATGAATGGAAATATATTTATATCTTAATTCTGTCGAAATGCTTATTTACGTATTTTAATCAGGAATTTTCTATCAATCATGATTTTTCTTTATGATTTTTAAACAAAGCGAAAACAGCTTATTTACACTGTCATATAAGTGACCTTTAAAACATGCCAAAAATCTTGACACTTTCTGCTTCAACACCACAGAGCAAGTGCAACCTACTGTTTAAAATAAAAAGGAAAGTGTTGTGACTCTTCCCAGCTCTGGAAAGTGATTTCTGGAGCTTTAATTTCAACATGTGCAGGCATAGGAAGAAAGGAACAGAATGATAGGAAATACAGCTAGCAACTCAATCTATTATTGTTCGGCCAGGGCTTTTGTAATACTATTGTGTAAGACAATTGGTCTTTTATAGTTAGACCATGGATTGATTAGGATTCGGGATTTTTTCATATTCTTCAGCATAGTGTCGATACTGGTCAGTGAGGAGAGGCTGACTGGCTTCATCCATTTTGTTTCTGGCACGGATCAGACAAGAAGCGCCCACAAAAATGACTGCAACCAGCAATAAAGCAGCAACCACTGCTATGGTAATAATCTCAGAAATTTGAAAACTCTGACCTATTTGAAAAATAAAACAAGAGCAAAAAATAAATAAATACATAAATCTGCTAATAGTTGCCATCAAAAAATGGATTCTAAATTTAGGCACTTTACTAAAATCCTCATACTTAATTTTTATTGGCTACACTGTCTAGAATAACATTTGTCATCTTGGAGGCACTTTCTAATTTCTCATAATGAGTAGATTCCATTAGGGTAGTTATATTCTAAACATGAGGAAATAATGTCACTTGCCCAAGGTCATTTGATTAGTAGATAATAGAATTGGTTTTGGAGTACAGGTGTTTCGGAATCCAAACCCTGTGCTCTTCTGCAGTATCCTGCTGCCTTCCTTGAAAAATAAATTTAAATTTATTTTTAAAATGTATTTTATTGATTTATTTTTTTATTTTTTTATTTTTTACAGAGAGGAAGGTAGAAGGAGAGGGGTAGAGAGTTAGAAACACCAATTCAGGTGCCTCCTGCACACTCCCTACTGAGGATGTGCCCGCAATCAAGGTACATGCCTCGACCAGAATCGAACCTGGGACCCTTCGGTCCACAGCTGATGCTCTATCACTGAGCCAAACTGGTCAGGGCTAAATTTAAATGTAAACAAGAAAGTTTTGCATTTCAAAATCTCAGGACAGCTCAGAATACCTCATGCTATTAAAATTTTTTTTGAGGATAGATAAACAGTGGCACATTATGTTGTAGAAAAATTAGGGGGCTAAGCTCAAAACTCAGTTTCTCTGCTTACTAAGCCTGTGACCTTTGACAGTTACCCTCACTAAACCTTGTCGTCAGTATTTGTAAAATCAGGATTTATGACCCTGTTACGGAGGGGTGTAAGGGTTAAATGAGATAGTGTACTATACTATAATCAGTGCAACACCAGGTCAGAGTGGGCTGGCAACAAGTGTTAAGTTCACTCGCTTTATCATCAAAGGAAAACCTAAATGAACGTTTCTAAATGCAAGTGGGAAATTTCAGCCTTAAGAATACTGTGATTGCCGAAACCGGTTTGGCTCAGTGGATAGAGCATTGGCCTGCAGACTGAAAGGTCCAAGGTTCGATTCCAGGTCAAGGGCATGTACCTTGGTTGTGGGCACATCTCCAGTAGGGGATGTGCAAGAGGCAGCTGTTCGATGTTACATTCTCCTCGATGTTTCTAGCTCTCTATCCCTCTCCCTTCCTCCCTGTAAAAAAAAAAAAAAAATCAATAAAAATATTAAAAATATATAAATATATAAAAAAGGAACACTGTGATTGGTTTACTTTTAAAGGTAACATAATGCTTTTGAAAATTTCCACAGTAAAAATACATTTTTAATACTCACCAGGCCATTGAACTTCATAGGTGTATCCCAGGTTGTCTGGAGCAGTAACAAACATTTCAGTGTTGGTAATTGGAGGCCAGAATGGCACCATATTGTATTGTCTATTATGTCCAATAGGGGCATTCTCCAATGGAAATGTGGATATGTCTAAAATATGCCAAAAATACCTTATTAATATCAGTATATAGTTATATTCTGAAAATGACCTGAAATATTCAAGCATAACATTAAAAACATTCTTTCATATTTTACAATGAATGAAGACATAAGTTTTACTACAGCAGAACAGGGACTTGCATAAAGCAGATTTCAAACGCCTTGCGTATAGCACTAATTAATGTATTATCCCATAGAAAAAGCAAGTTCAAAAACTAGCGTATTTCAGTATTTTGTCATCTTTGATGCTCATTAATTGTTTTACTTTTAAATTACAGAAACAGATTTTAATAAAATTAAATTTATTTTTTCAAAGGTAAAGAAAAGGTGGGTGTATAGTTTGCTGTAACATCATCTATTATTTAAATTTGATAGTTTCTAATGGAGGTTTCTTCTTGACTGCAAATGTTTCTATTTGGTATATTTTCTTTTTTTCTGTTTACTTTTAGAGAAATAAATATTAACTTGTTCCTCAGGTTTTACTCGGTTAACAAAAAACTCTTAAAAATTTTGAATCACCATCTTGGAATCTTACTTGCTTCCCGCTACCTCTCCTCTTTCTATAGTAGTCTCCCCTGACCCATGGTTTTGTCAACCATGGTTCAGTTATCCACAGTCAACTGTGGTCTGAAAATATTACATAGAAAATTTTAGAAATAAAAAGTTATAAGTTTTAAATGATGCAGTTCTAAGCAGCGTGATGAAATCTTTACCCTCCTGCTCTGTCCTGCCCACAAAGTGCATTATCCCTTTGCCCAGCATATGCATTCAGTATATGCCACCAGCTCGTTAGTCACTTAGCAGCTTCTCAATTATCCCATCAGTGTTGTGCTATTGCAGTGCTTGTGTTCAGGTAACTGCCCCAAAGCCATTCATATAACTTATTAAAATATTAGAGGCCTGGTGCATGAATTTGTGCATGGGTGAAATCTGATTGGGGCCAGGTTGGTGGGGGGGAGGGGATCGAGGAAGTTGGTCAGCCAGCCTTGCTTGATCAGGGTGAGAGTCTGGCTGGGGGAGGGGCTTCAGGCAGTTGGCCTGTGGGTCCCCTCTGATCCGAGTGTGGAGGGGCAATCAGGGGCCAGGCTAGTGGGGGAGAGGGGCTGTATGAGGTGGGGGGGGCAATGGCATCCCTGATTGGGCCAGTTTGCTGCAATGGTGGACTTCGTATCGATCAGTTGTTGCAGTTGTTCTGGTGGTTCTGTTGTTTTGGTTGCTTAGTGTATATATATATATATATATATATAGTTATAATTGTTCTATATTACTGCTAGTTATTATTGTGAATCTATACTGTGTGTAATTTATAAATGAAACTTTACCATAGGTATGTACCTAAAGGAAAAAACAGTGCATGCAGTTCTAGGGTTCACTACTATCCACAGTCTCAGGCACCCACTGGAGCTCTCAGAACATTTCCCTTGCAGACACAGGGGACTGTTCTATTTAAATACAAGTTGCAGGTATTTATATCATTGACGAGTTTTTGTCATAAGCGTTAAAAGTACTGAAATATCCTTTGTGGCAAAAGTTGTGGTTTGTTGTTGTTGTTCTATATGTTGGTACAATTAATTACCAGCTGGAATGTTACAAAGCCAGAGTTGCAAGTGGGCTTGGGCTCTACATGTGTGGAAATACATTGAGAAGAGCTGGGACACGTGAGAAAACTAGTGAAGTGTCCGACTGTGTTTGTAAGAACTACATTATCTGCACAGTCCGTGTGTTTCCATGAAGCACAGAAGAGAATTTTAGAATCTAGTTTGAAGAACGATTCTAGAAATGATAGTGTTTATATTTTTGAGGCTTAAGTATTTATCTAGTAACATCTGTTGAGCCCCTGATCTAGGCAAGGGGCTATAGCTTTGAACAACAAAATTTCTGTCTTCAAGAAAATCACATGTTGGTGTATTGAGGAAAATTAATTTTTCAAGTTAGATATTAAAATTAATAAGTTGGATTTGTAAACTTCCCATTTCACCTTCACTCGATCACCCTTACCCAGGTCAGCTTCAGCTGTATGATTAAGTTATATCTATTAAAATGAATGAAGAAAAATAGTAAAAATAACAAACAATAGCAATTGGATTATAATGTAATCTTTCTATGGCTCTTCATCTATTTTTATTATAGATAATGCCTTATGTACTTAAATACACATGCAAATGAGGTGGAACGCCAATCAGTGAATTCATAGCAGATTGATAAATGAACCAATATTTGTTTGTAAGTTATTCACTTGTTAAATAATTTTCTGAAGGATAGTAAAACTCATTAAAAATATTTCACCTGTCAAGTCAACAGCAGTGATTATTCTGAGCAACAATTTTTCCTAAGCTTGCCAGGACAGTTTTTCCCTTAATATAATCAAATTGTTTCTCTGCACCTATGTTTAGCAATATCTGTTTGCTAAATCCATAAGTAGGTTGGTTTTAAGCTAATGGCATGACATTCTAAATGTAGCCTTCAGGCTCCATATTAAAAATAATGGAACATACTATTTTGACCAACTCATCAATTAATGGTCTTAATCAGGTTAATTTAAGAACTTCTGTACACTCACAATCACATTCAAGAAAATAAGGGATTGGCTGAATTGAGTGGATAAATGAATAGGTAGTTAATCTCAAATATTATGTTTATTTGCATGATGAGATAAAGGCATAGAAGTCAACATTTAGAACACTTTTAAAATATAAAAATTTACAATGTTTTAACCAGAGGAACAACATTGAAAAGTAATGTGAAAAAATTAAAAGTAATATAAATCTCTCAGCTGAGTAGAAATTAAGAGAAAGTGACCTTGTAAATAAGATTAAATATGTTAAAATGAACTTAAAAAGAGATTTTTCTATGGTGTGATATAAAAACCAACATCATCTTTTCAAGTTGAGCAAAATTTCCATTTGTGAGAGTGAATAAAGTAATAAAATCAAAACTATGGATTATGAGTGTAATAATTTTTCTGTTTTGGAGTATCAAAGAAGAGCTCTGTAAGAATTTCTCATCTATATTAAAAAGCAATGAGAATGTTCATTGGAAGATATGAGGTAGAAAAATTTGGGAAACAGTAAAAATGAGAAGGGATTAACTGCTTAGTTCTATTGAATGCTAGTAAATATCTTCTTTCTATAGCAATTCTGAGAGACTTCTTGTCTGCCTTGTCAAAGTGGTTTGGAGTATTTGGAAATGGCAAGATAATAGAGCTATTTTTGCCTTATGTTGAAATGTAGTTTATGTGTGTCAAGTGCTTAGCCTGAAGTGATAACTATGTCATCCGAACAATCTTTTTTTTGCTGAGCCCGCGAAAAGCATATAAAAATGTCTCACCAGCATTATATCTCCTCAGCCATTCATCAAAGATTGCGTCAGTGAAAGTATGCAGGAGGACAAAAATAGGATCATTTGGAGATAAATGGGTTTGTCCCCCTGTTCCATTCAGGAATAGATGAGCCAAATTGTGAAGGCTTCGAACAGCAGGATCGTACCTTCCCGTGGGATCACTGTAACCTAGATATAAAAATAGAATGAGAATAGTAAAAATCATTACAAATATTCTACTTGTAAAGTCAACAGCAGTGATTATCCTGAGCAACAGTTTTTCTAAGCTTGCCAGGACATTGCTTAACATAATAGCATTATTTCTCTCTACCTTTGGTTAGCGACCTTTGTTTGCTATACTTAGAACTAGGTTGGTTATAAACTAGTGGCATGGCATTCTCAATGTAGCCTCCAGGTTAAAAATAATGACCTGCAAAGGATACCAATCAAAATACACAGAATACTCTATTTCCACAAGGCATACATCACTCTATATGACAGTGGAAATGTCTAGCTTCTACTGAAAACTGCTGATTGGGAGACCACTCTGATTGTCCTGGAACTTAAATTGCCAGATGTTACTTTAGTTTCCTATATTATTCCTTTTTAATGACTGTCAGCATATTTATTTTTGGAAACTTACTGTGGTGGAGAAGTTACAATTTCTCAGGGTTTTCTTAACACCTCTGTATTAGATTTAAACATCTGGAGGGCCTACCCTCAAAACATTTATAGAACTTTTGATAATGATGTCTATTCCATATACATATTTCTAAATATATCTCCATTTTATATATAATAAACATATATTTTATCTACATATATAAAAGCCTAAATGACTGTCTAATGTTCGGCAATTTGTTCAGCCAGTAGCTATGATATGCACGAACCACCAGGGGGAAGATGCTCAATGCACAAGCATGAAAACATGGAGCAGACTGATGAATCTCAGAGGGAAAGGGGCGGTGGACGGGAAGAGATTAACTAAAGATCTTATATGCATACTAGAGGCTTGGTGTGCAGATTTGTGCACCAGTAGGGTCCCTCAGCCTGGCCTATGGAGATGGGGCCGAAACTGGCCTTGTGCAAGGATTCATTCACTGTGGGGTCCCTCGGCCTGGCCTGTAAGAATCAGACTGAAACCAGCTGTCTGACATCCCCCGAGGGGTCCTGGATTTCAAGAGGGTGAAGAACCCCACTGGTGCACGAATTCCATTTTCTAATCATCTACAGCATTATCTTAGGCTCTGCATCTGTTTTCTGATTATCTTAGGCTCTTCAGCAGCAGTTCTCAACCTGTGGGTCATGACAATGTGGAGCATTGCATCATACACCAAAAGGGAAAAAGGTGTGGGTTTGATTCCTGGGTCAGGGCACATACCTAGGTTGCAGGTCCCTGGTTGGGGTGCATATGGGAGGCAGCTGATTAATGTTTCTCTTTCACTTGGATGTTTTTTCCTCTCTCTCTCTCTCTCTTCCCCTTCCTCTCTCTCTAAAACCAATAAAAATATATCCTCGGGTGAGAATTTAGATAAAAGGGACTTTTTTGGTCTGACACTTTTATTTGAGGAAGTTCTTTTGTGAGCAGAGAATTATAACTATATCATATTGGCAGCACCATTCAGATAAATTAATTGAATTAATGTGGCATTTAAATTTTTTTTTCAAAGAGATCTGAATGTGAGTACTTCAATTTTCTGTGATAACTAAATCAATTCAAAACACTAATTTTGTTTACTTGCCTTCCACTGTGTTTCGAAAACTGTTTGTAGAGTTGGAATAGAAAGGAGGTGTGTCAAATAATCCAACTTCTAAGCACTGAGCCACATCCTGTGGTTCAGGAAGCCTCTGCACCATTGGTCTAGCCACGTTTCCAGCTGGATTCCTCCTAATTGGTGCCCCCTCAGTGCCTGGGAAGAAGATGGGGGATGCAAACATTTAGAGAATGGTTAGAGATCTTGTTATTGCCCTTCAACATTTTATATACAGCATGGACCTTGAATAATAGGTTCTTCTTGGTAGAGGAGATACATTTTTAAAATGCTTTTCAGTGGCATTAAAGTGAGAAAATCTAAGTTATGTCAACTTCTCTAAGAAGAGTAAATAAGTGACACATAAAATCATCTGAAAGAAGGGATCACAATAACAGACAGAGGTCCCAGTGTTTGTTAAATCAACATATGCTTCTTTCCTGAGAATATATTAAACATTCCATGAAAAATTGAATTTTGTCCAAATAATCTCATAAACTTGAATTGTACACTGAAATCCATATTTCATGTATATAGATATATGGAGTTTGGCACTTGAATGCTGTCTGTTTCAGCCCTCAGAGAAAGAAAGAAAAACAATCTTCAATTTCAATGAACACATTTTTTAGGAAGTTATGTCAGAAATAATTAAAGTCTTTTGAAGGGCAGTAAGACTAACAACTGAGCAAAGAGCTGTGATACTAGGGATCATATGATAGATGCCTCTTAAGGGAGGGAAGGAAATATCTTTCCCAGTTGGGTGGATCCTCGCGCTGCTGAGGAGGCTGGAGAGGCTCCTGCCACCTCCCTTGCATTCGCAGCCACCAGCCCAGCTTGTGGCTGAGCGGAACTCCCCATGTGGGAGCGCACTGACCTCCAGGGGGCAGCTCCTGCATAGAGCATGATGGTCAGTGCGCATCATAGCTACTGGTCATTTCCGGCCATTCCACCATAGAGTCAATTTGCATATTACCCTTTTATTATATAGAATAAGTCCCATTGGAGCAAGAATTCTGTTCTTGCTCACTAATATGTGCCCCAGTTTTGGTATAGAGCCTGGCATTAATAGTTGCTAAAATAGTTGTTTGGTACATGTTATTATATGGGATTTAATCACGTTGGCCTGTTTGGGGGCTCGCCTGTCTGGGCTACATGGCAATGTAAGAGATTATTGAATGGTGGGAAAGATGAGACGTTAGATAAGAACCATAATGTGAAGAAATCAAACAGCAAGATGATAAAGTTAATGTTTAATTCACGAAGTGGGAGAGGCCTTATTGGAGGTGGGGGGAGGAGAGTTTGATTAGGAGCATTTTTTGTTAGTCTGCCTCAGTGGTCTCGAGAGGAGTGCTCGTGCCTTAGAGGAGACACAGAGAATAACTTACTGGGTGGGAGAGAGAATATTTCAACATGTACTCATTTTCACTGTACCTCATTCATAGAAATCCCAATTGTGTGCTTTATAATTAACATAATAATTAGCATAAACAGCTTTATCCTATATAATAAAGAGGTAATATGCAAATTGATCATCACTCCAACACACAAGATGACCACCCCATGTGGACACAAGTTGGCCATGACAAGATGGCTGCCACAAGATGGCTAGCAGGGGAAGGCAGTTGATTAGGTTAGCAGGGGAGGGAAGTAGGGAAGGGCCAAGCCTGCAAGAAAGGGAAGCTTGGGCAATCAGGCTTGCAGGGGAGGGCAGTTAGGGGTGACCAGGCTGTCAGGGGAGGACAGTTGGGGTAGACCCAGGCCTTTAGAAGAGGGAAATTGAGAAGGTACCAGGCCTGCAGGGAAGGGCAGTAGGGGGGGCCAGGGCTTCAGGGGAGGGAAGTTGGGGGTTACCAAGCTGGCAGGGGAGGGCAGTTAGGTGCAATGGGCTGGCAGGGGTGCAGTTAGGCATTGATCAGGCTGGCAGAGGAGTGGTTAGGGGGTGATCAGGCTGGTAGGTAGAAGCAGTTATGGGCAATCAGGCAGGCAGGCAGGTGAGCAGTTGGGAGCCAGCAGTCCTGGATTATGAGATTGGGCCTAAATGGGCCACTGGGATCAGGCCTAAACAGGCAGTCAGAATCCCTCAAGGGGTCCCAGATTAGAGAGAATGCAGACTAGGCTGAGGGACAACCCCCCTCCCTGTGCACAAATTTCATGCACCTATATACTATAAAAATAAAACATGATTATATTGAGAATGGAAAGTGCATATGTATGTTTTAGGTATACATTATTATAAAAACTTCAGACTATACTAGCTAACCCATCAATTTAAGCTAATATTTTGGAGTTTACTATTCAGGGAGCTGTCACTACATCCCAAGAAAAAAAGTATTGGTTACATGGGTTTCAAAAACACTATATTCAAATGTGCTCTTATGAAGCTTCGTAGTGCAGGATTTTGATAGTGAAGAAACTAGTTAAACCAATTTAATTTTAATCTAGTGACTTTAAAATTTGTTTATACATGTACAACCTCTGCCATTGCATCTATTTTTATTTTTAAATTAAAAACATTTAATTACAGTTGACAATATATTAGTTTCAGGTGTGCAACATAGTGGTTAGACATTTATAAAACTTACCAGAAGCCCGGTGCACAAAATTCAGGCACTAGGGGGGTGTCCTTCAGCTCAGTCTGCACCCTCTCCAATCTGGGATCCCTCAGGGGATGTTCTACTGCTGGTTTATGCCTGATCTCACAGGCAGTCGGACATCCCTCTCACAATCTGGGATTGCTGGCTCCCAACCGCTCAACTGTCTGCCTGCCTGCCTGATTGTCCCTAACTGCTTCTGCCAGCCAGAATGATCACCCCCTAACCAGAATGACCCCATAACCATTCCCCTGCCAGCCTGATTGATGCCTAACTGCTCCTTTGCCATTCCAATTGCCCCCAACTGCCCTCCCCTGCCAGCTTGGTTGCCCATAACTGCCCTCCCCTACAGGCCTGGTCTCCCCCAGCTGTCCTCCCTCACCTGCAGACCCAGTCACCCCCAGCTGCCTTTCTCTGCAGGCCTGGTCCCCCCCAACTGTTCTCCCTCTCCTGCCATCTCCTCTGTGCTTACCAGCTGTGAGCCCAGCTTCTGGCTGAGCGGCACTTCCTCTGTGGGAGCACACTGACCACCTGGGGGCAGCTCCTACATTGAGCATTTGCCCCCTGGTGGTCAGTGGGCTTCAAAGTGACCAGTCTTTCCTCGGTTTGGTTGATTTGCATATTAGCCTTTTATTACATAGGATAGCCAGACATGCCTAAAGAAGAAAAATAAGGGGGGATAAGGAGACTCTAATAATGAAGACCTTGTACTTGCAGCACAGGGACAGATAATAAGATCCAAGGAAGAGAGTAGAAAGCTCAGTTGCAGAGCCACACATGACAGAAATGACCTGTGGCAGAGCTACTGTTCAGATCCCTGGAACAAAGATGCTAGAACAGCTGGTTAAGCATTCTCTTTATCATCTTTTTATTTTTAACCCTATGACTAGATTAACACCATAATTACATAATGTAATTATATTATTATTATTACGTTTATTTACTCCTTTGGCACTTCCAAGTCTTTCTATGTACATCAGGTTTCCTAGGGAACATTTTCTATGAAATTCCAACACAAGACACATGATCAGTAAGCAGTGCTGAGTGCACTAAGAGGATTAAGTTATACAATTAGACCTTTCCAAAATAAGAAAGTGAGCAATGCACTTACCAGATTGCTCAAGAAAAGAATGTAATAATGTACAGACACTCTGTTCCCCTTGCTGCACCTTATAGATTGCCTTGAGTGTCTTAGTTGTTTCATGAATTGATTTCATTACATCGATTCTCTGCAATAATAGATTTTAGTCTGACATCCTTAATAGAACGAATGGCCTTTAGGCAGCACATTTAATTCCTCTCCCTAAAGGGAATTCTGAATCCTAGATGTCATTTGGAACTTACTGTTACACAGGGTTCCTAGGGTATCATAATCTTCCAGGGATTCACACACCACTCGCCATTGAGAAAAGACAGAGTTCGGGCTTATAAGGTTGGGATCAAAGTTGCTTCTGGAGCCCATCATGTCATCGGTGCATATGTCACAGACGTTCCTCCCAGTCGCAAAATTCCAGTAAGGAAGGGAGAAGGAAGGATTCTGCAACATTTCCTAGATCACAGAAACTCAGTTAGCATTCTCTGGCTTTTGTTTAAAATTCTCTCTCTGCTGGGTTTCCTCCCTTGCAGTCTATTTCTCTTAGATCTTTTCAGCCACTTAGAAGCCAGTTAGTGGGTCTGAGGGGCTGGAGGACTCAACTACTTTATTAACAAAGTTTCTCATTTATTAAAAGGAGTCACTTTAGGCTCAGGAGCAATTTAAACTCAACTCATTATACAAAAGTTCCTGCCATTGATTTGTTTAGGGGGCAGGGGAAAGGTCTTTCTTTGCTTTTTTTTAGATAGGTAATTATATTTCTATTGATTGTGCCAAAAGTTATCAATAATCACTTCTACTTCTTGACATTTGCACCTCCTTCTATTTTCCATTTTCCTTTCTTTAATTCAAGCACTGCTAACTCTTGGTCTGGAGCCAGACCCTCCTTGAAATGTGTTCTGTGAAGCAGTACCTTTTTTTTGTTTGTTTTGTTTTATTTTGTTTTTAGTTTAACTTGAATGCCTGAGGCATATAGATTCTGCTTCAGCCACAGGCTACACAGACTCTATCAGACTTACCTTATCTGCCTGGGCTGTAAAGACGTTTTACCTTGAGACCTCTGCTTCAGAGTCTAAACTCTGAACACGCAACCTCCTCCCCAAAGCTCATACCACCAGGACATGCTGAAGGGAAACAGAGTGTTTCTTTGTGCATGCTGCTCTGTAGAACAGGGACCTGGTTCCCATTTAGGGCTGATCTCAACGATTTAAAAAATGCTGGACTCAAGATCACATGGGTATTTTTCCTAGGTTCCTTAAAAGATGCATTGACGGTACCTGCTATTTCTCATTCCCTTTCGGTCTTTGGGGAATTACATTGAGAGTGTCAGATTTAAATGTGGGAATTGCCACTGTTTTATTCGGCCTCCCTGCACTTGGGACATTACTGCTTTTTTACTTCCAGCCTTTCTAGGAAGCATCCCCTGGCCCTCAGGGTGTGATAGAGGGCCCAGAGCTTTCCCAGGCTTCGCCAGCGATGGGTCTCCAGGGACCTAGAGTCCTCATTTGGAAGCCATTGTTCTGGTTCACAGATATTAGTGACAGCTTCCAGGGGACTATTAAGAGTCATTTGTGGTTCAGTAGCTGACATTTGGGAGCTGGAGCATATTCATGTGGCATTTCCACGGCACATTACGTATAGGTTGTAATTGGTTGAATCCCTTGTGCTGTTGGGTTTTAAAAATATAAGTAGTCCTAGAGGTTGAAGTTTACACAGGCACACTTTGAAGCTTTTAGATACTTTCCATATGCCCTTTCATTTTGGTGTGCTCATGGGAAAATGACTTGAAGGCATGAAGCTCTAGAGTCGATTACAAATGACAGATTTATCTCCAAGTAATCTACTGAATGTCTTGTATTCAGAGCTATAAAATATGAAGTGCAGAATACCAGATGAATTTATTTAATCACCCTCAAACTGCATATAGATAGACTACATTCATACAAATATCTTATTCTGTATTGTCATGCATTATTTTTTCACTCTTCTAACCATTTATTTTCCTGGAATAATGCTGGGCACCAGGATACTACACATTGATAAATAAACACCTTTTCTGCCTTCAGATATTTTTAGGTTAATTTTTAGATTTTAACTTAGGGAGAGGGATTCATTTCAGTTGTTTCACATAGAAAACTGGTTTAATTTGTTGATTTCCTAGATCTAGTAATTTAAAACTTTATCTTAAAACTACAATACTTTTCTTAAGGAGGAGCAATTAGTAAAAGACGCAATAATAAAGTGTCTTTGTTAACAGACAATTTAATGTGGTTTGAGCTTATGTGCTTAAAAATATATAGGAAGCCTGGTCACTGTGGCTCAGTGGCTAAGCACTGATCCATGAACCAGAAGGTAAGGGTTTGATTCCCCGTCAGGGCACATGCCTGGGTTGTGGGTTTGAACCCCAGAAGAAGGCATGCAGGAAGCAGCCAATTGATGATTCTCATCATTGATGTTTCTATCTTTTTCCCTTTCTCCTTTCCTCTTTCTTGAAAATCAGTAAAAACATATTTAAAAACAAGCAGGAAATAACTGGGTTGAAGTTCACTTTATGTCAATGCCTCTTAAGTAAAAATGATATCTAGCTGATGGGATATTTTTAGTAGATTTCTTCTGTAAGCCTCAAAGTGGTTTTAAAAATGCTGGACTCAAGGTCACATGGGTATTTTTCCTAGGTCTCTTAAAAGATACAGTTATAATACCTGTTATGAGAAGCATAGAGAACAATGGTGCTCAATGTAAATATGACAATATATAAACGGAAAGGGACTTTTTACATCATTGAAACCCCATATCACATTAGTTTTGTCCACTGGTATGGAGAGTTACATATTTGGGACTTGGAAGACTGGCATATCTATATGAGTCATTATTTTAATTACAGAGCCGTGGACCATGTCCAGTGCCTTCATTGGCACCTACAAATGTCTCACTTGCCTTCCTCATCATTGAGATTACTTTCTTTTCACTTCACAAATTGTCAAGGTCAATTAATAACCAATTAGCACAGGGAGGAACATAGAATGCCTAAGGCAGAGCAATAACAGGGGTTGCTCTGTTACACCATGCTTTGGAGCACAAGTGGCTCAAATGACTTGCAAACAAGGCGCCCTGTGTGTAAAGGACCCGAACATGGAGATGCTCCCTGCGTACCTGCATGTCTCTCTCCAGCTGCAGCAGGTGGTACCTGTGCCACGTGAGGAAGGCTGGCCCCTCATGGGAGAAGTCCACTTCGCCGAAGCTTTCCTGGCCTGGCCCAAGGAAAGTCTTTTTGACTGAGTAATAGTGTGTCCACACAAAGTAGTTGTAAATGGAAATGTTCTCGAACTGTGGTGTGTTGCCATCTGGCCCCAGGATCTCTTCTGTCCTCCTGGTGGCAATGACAAACAGGGGGTGAGTGGTGCGCTTCGCCATATCCAGGGCCCGGACATAGTAGTTCTTCTCTTCTGTGCTTAAATCCAGGAGGTTTCTCCTGACTAAAGGGATACAAAATGCAGACATGAAAACCTCTGCCTTGTGGGGATGGGTAGAGAATGAGCATAATAATCTAACACACCATGCTCTGTTTACCTGTAATGATAATTTGCATACATGTTTAAAAATTTTTTTTACTTTAAAAAATACCTCTTACTATATATCCCTCCCTCCCCATCTCTCTCTCCCTCAGTTGGTTTCTCCCCCACTCTCTAATTTAAATAGAATTTTGTGAACTTTCTGTCATCTTACTTGTGGATTTTGATTGTGTTCTGTTTATTTCTGCTTTCCATTGACATTTTTCTACATTTTTAATTGTTATAAATCTTGCAAAAACAAGGGATGTGGTGTAGCATGGTGGTGAAGACCAGAGACTCATTCAATGACCACACATTTCTCTAAGCCCCAGTTTTCATCTGCAAAGTGTATATAAAACACTAGAAGCCCAGTGCATGAATTTGTGCATGGGTGGGGTCCGGCTGGGGGTGTAGGTGGGAGGTGGGGGAAGGTCCGAGAACGGTTGGCCTGCCCTGCTCCCTGGTCAAACTCCAGGTCGAATTCCCGGTGGAGGGGACAATTTGCATATTAGGCTTTTATTACATAGGATAATATATCTTTGCAGAGTTGTACCTTTTAAAGGGTTTACATATAAAAAGCAGTTAGACCAGGGCTTGGCTCACAATAAAGACTCAATAAATATTGTTCAACCCTTGGTGTGGCACCCTGAAAACAATTGCATTTTGCTGGCTGCTACTATTTCATGCCTTGTTATTAATTGTTATTAATTGTTATTGCTATTTAGGCTGCTGGCTGGGCTCATCATCAGAAATGGCTAAACTTGCTCATCGCAGGGGTGAGTAAGGGGACCACGCCTATGCTAATTAACATAACTACCTTGAGGAGTTACTGAAAACATAGTCATAAACCTCTAGCACAGTTCCCAGCAGACTGTGGTGGCTCAACACATGTTCAGGAAGGAAATAGTAGTCAGATGACCTGAGCCCCAAGCTCATTCCTTTAAATTAAATACATTTCTTTGTAAGCCTCTTTCCTCAACTGTGAAGGGAGGATTGAGCTGTATGATTTTCCCAGATGTTCTTCCAGCTCCAGTGATTTGGGTCTCACCCAGGACCGTCTAGCCATTCATACCCCCGCTTACCTGTGAGAACCCTCTGGTCACAGGCGGTTCCTCTCCATCCATGGCGGCAAGTCCCACAGTTGTGCCCCCAGAAGTTGCCATTGCAGCGGCACGTCCTGTTGAAGAACCGTGTGGGCCAGCCCTCCCGGTCGTCTCGGCCATCGTGCGGGTACTGGGGGCTGTGGGGCCGGGAGTCTGCAGTCACGGCCTCACACCTGCCCCTCCCTGAGGAGGAGCCGCAGGGGTCAGTCCCGGGCCCGGGCCCGGGGGCCAGGTCTGGGCAGCACACCCCACTCCTCAGAGCCTCCGTGGTGGCGCACTCCCTTGGGAACTGAGCCCGGGCCTGCTGAGTGAACACCAGGGCCAAGAAGATGTATCCTAGAGAGAGGAGTTTGTGCACTCCCATTCTGCTGGAAGCCAGGCTCCGGTTCTGTGGCCCTTTGTGCAGAGACGGAGGCACATAGATTAAAAATCCAGCTGAAAAGGAGAAAGCAACATGGAATTATATAAGGATTCCCCTCCACTCCCCCTTTGGCATGTTATAAATGGCATGAGCCCTTTCCAACCCACCTTCAAAATGCTTCTCACGTCTGACCCATGCCAATTCAAGTCAGAAAAACAGTTATCTACCTTAAAATTTTTTGACATGTATAATACCCACATAATTAAATCCCCAATCCTAGTCATTTAGTTTTTTTTTTTTTTCCATTTTAATTTCTATTTATAAAAATACTCATCCTGGATGCCATTTATCAAAAGCAGTCATTAGCAGGTCACCACCACTAATTACATCTAACCGTGGGGGCTGTAAGAGGAATTGGGAGCAGGTTTCCAGCAAGTTAATTTTCATTATTTAAAATCCCCCCAGCCTAATGGAGGCCTGGCTGCAGTCCACCCACTCCAATGGAGCTTCTCTCCAGTACCTCCGGCTCCTGAGGGGATTCTCTGCCGAAGCGCTCTCAGAGCTGAGTGTCTTATATTTGCCAGTCCCCTGATGTCAGAGCTGTTAATTGCATGTGGGTTTGTGCCTGATAACTAATCACAAATCTGCTCCCCCAGACTGGGAGGGGCGGGTGCTCCTCTGCACCCTTTACTAATCCTCTTTCACGTCAGTGAGTTTTCCTGCCCTTTAAGTACTTGGTTAGCACATGATTCCCTCCTCACTGATTTCCTTGTGATGCTTAAAAGGCCAGAGGCACTCATTTGGAATACCACAAATTGGAAAGGCTAGAGAATGTCTATCTCCATGGTAGAGTTTTTTTTTGTTTGTTTTTTTTTTTTTGTTTTTTTTTTTTGACATATATACCTTTACAGGATGAAATCAGAATACTGGCTCTTTCTTGGTGAGACAAGGTTAGGCCAATGTTTGGCCCTGATGGTAACTTTTGATTGTGTTTGATCTTGAAAACAGATGCTGCCATTCTTACCATTTCTAGAGAGAATAATTGTTTTTAGAAAAGGCATGAAATTGCCTGGCTGGCATGGCTCAGCGATTGAGCATCGAACTATGAATCAGGAGGTTACAGTGCCATTCCTGGTCAGGGCACATGCAGGCTCGATCCTCATTGTGGGGAGTGCAGGAGGCAGCCTATCTATGATTCTCTCTTGTCATTGATTTTTCTAATCTCTTTTTCTCCCTCTCCTTTCCTATTAGAAATATAAAAGAAAATATATATAAAAGAAAAGCATCAAATACAATTACACCAAGTCACATGCCATTGATGCTCCTGGTGCCTGCTGGTGTTGACCTTGGATAGCCTTCCCTGCATTGGGGTGTGTCCATCTCTTTATCAAAGTGTCACAGGTTCACTGCGTTTCTGTGGTTTAGAAGTTGACCACTAACCAGCTTCTTTCCTACTTTCTGTTCAAGGATTAAGCCAATGGCACTAATTTAAAATTATTTAAATGCCTTTGCAAATTTTAATGGCCTTATACCATCAGTAACCATTATCTTAAGATTTCATATTCATTCAGGGCAAAATTAAGTGTAAAACATAATGCATATAAAATAATATTTATATAGTCTTTTTTTATTTTATTTTTTAGTTCAACTCCTTGCTGGATTGAAGTAGATTATTATTTTTTTTTCTTTCCGGACCCTAAAGGATCTGTGCACTTCTAGGAGATTATGGGAACACCATCTTGGGTATCACTACCAAGAGCGATCTTATTTGGCCACGTGGAATTCATCCATGAGCTGGTGAATCCGGTTGATAACTAATAACAATCTTTCCCCAGAGGATCTGACTTAAATCCTAACTTCTTATTTACTAAGTCCACTTAGATGTCTAATTGGTCACACATTTTTAAAACATGTTCCTCAGTCTTTCCCATCTCAGTGAATGAAATTACTGTTTATCCCATTGCTTGGGGGAGGGGGGGGGGATACCTGCAAAAGCCACTGCTTCTTTCTCTTTGTTTCATGCAAACTGCGTTCATCACTTGATCTAACAGCCTAACTTTGAGCAGTCATTATCTCTCACCTGACCTATGACAATAACCTAGTGTATCTCCTCACTTTCCATGCTTAACCACACAGGAGTTTATTCTCCACATAAGATTTTATTCTCCATTCGGCAGCCTGAGAGAGCTTTTTATTGCTGATACCTGATTACCACTGCTCTCAACAAAACCCTTCAATGGCCTCTAAACTCAGAATAAACCCCAGTGCTTATAGAAGCCTATGTGATCGGGCCCCTCCTATGTCTGATGTCCTCCTACCAACTTCCCACTGGCCCCCCTCCCCTCCGTCCTTGTTCTTTGCTTAAGAGCAAGTTTGTTACAGCCTCTGTGCCTTCTATCTACTGCTCCCTCGGCCATCTCCCAGGTCTTTCATGCTTACTCTGTCACTGCATTCGGGTCTCTGTTCCACTGTTACCTCTTCAGAGAGGCCTTGCCTAAGTGCCCCATCTAAGTGCTCCGTCCTCAATACCATCATTCATCACTTGCTTCTTAGGACTTAGTCTTTTTCATAATACTAAGCACTACCTGAAATTTTTATTACTTATTCAGTTTTTCACTTACAGCTTCTCACTTATCAGAAGGTAACCTTTTGTCCTTCTTTTTCAGTATTGACCTAAGCCCTCTTAGAGAGCCATATAGCCATGTTTAAACATGAGCGAGGAGTAGACATTTGATGTATTTACTCCCAATCTAATGGTAGCCAGTGCTATGGCTAAAAGGAATGCATTTTCATTAGCTACTATGAATGAGCATCTATTATTTCCCTAAGGACTGTACGTATATTACCTCTCACTCTTTCAAAATGTTATTGAAATACTATTTTTATTCTTGTTTTACAAATGAGAAATGGAAGTTTAAGGAGTTTAAGGCTTTTTAAAATTATGCAATTGTGATTAGAAATCTCAGGTTTTGAAGCCAACTTAGTTTGGCTCTAAAATGTTTGCAATTTTTAAGTACTGCTCTCATTCTAAAAGAGGAATGCTCTATTTCAAGTTTTAAAGTAGACCAGCTTTGAGTGAGCAACTGTCTTTGTTTCCCTGAGTCTCAGCTCTGATCTGCCAATTGTGTGTGATAAGTCCATATTGTTGAAGCAAATAAGCTCATAAAAATAATCAGTGGATTGCAGACAATCAATACTAATTTAACAAGTAAATGAATCAAAGGTAGAAATTTTGAAATAGATGAAAAAGTAATACCATATTTATAACTATCTTACAATACTCAAATATAGTTTTCACAATGCCCTCATTATTGACAAATGTCAAATCGATGTTACAAATAGTCCTGTGAAATAAGAGTGTCAAACATTGGAGAGGAAAGCTGAAACAACATTCTCTATTAATTGTGAAAATCTGGAAATAGACCCCAAACTAGTGTATTCCACACACATACATTGACATTATTCCTCAGCATACTGGTGTTTTCCAATGCAAGAGGCTGGAGCAAAGTGTAAAAAGAAGAAAATGCACTTATGTCTTTCTATTTTGCATGGATATTGTGAAATGTGCAGTGTCAGGATCCTTCTGAATTATTCACAGCATAGGTCAGAAATTAATGTCAGAATACAAGTGTAACACTCCTCGGTCCACTGCAAAAATTATTTCTAAGATTTCTTTGGTGGAAATTAATTTTTATACAGTAATTTTGCCTTATGAATGGGCTAAGTCTGAAACTTTACCTACATGTACCTGTCTACAAATGAATCTAACAATACATGCATTAGTAAAAAAAAAATGAATAATTAGTTAATATTACAAGTTAAATAATAATAGCAAATGCTCAATGACATTTAGGTAAATGATACTGCTGAATTCCATAAACTGTGTCTTAGTGGTAAAACATTATTAAACCAAAGAAATAGCTTTAAAGACCTAGGGAGCTATGCACAGAAAGAGTACTAAGAATTATACTATAAACACCATTTCTGTGCGTGTCAAATGTTCATATCTGATGTGAATTAAATTCATAACTCAAGTAAAGGGACTGATCCTCTCTCCCTATATTTTCCTTTGAAGTCTCATGATTGTCATTTATAAAAAAAAGTTAGGAAAAAACTAATGATAAAGGACCAGGAATTTAGATCAAGTTGAGGAGAAACTTTTCAGGGATACCCTTCTGTTTCTAGAAAAATTCTTAATGAATATTAATATCTTTAGTAATATGTGTGGCAAATGATAGTGACTATATTCATTGCCCTTTGGATTACAAGTTGTTCAATTACATGCTTAGTTGTTCTCAGCTTAGATTAATGGTTAGAATTCCAAAGGCATTAAGGCAACTCAGAGTCATCTGTTAGGCCAGTCATGTGTTCATACCTCATGGAAGAGCTTATATTCAGTGGGAGCAAAGGGAAGAATGTCAGGTCTGTGTTTTTGTGTCAATGAGCAGAGGCTCAGTCAAACATACCATTGCTATTTCTGGGTGGAATATTTAAAGTTGAGGTCTCAGAGAATGTGGTCTCCCATAAAATGTTCCATTAATTTCCTTATTGCATTCTTGAAACTCAGTAATATATTGCAAAATACCGGTGCAGGGCCAGTTAACAATATTTGATTTCTGTTTATTGAAATATTCTCTTGAGAAAGTAATATTAAAGCATTTAAAGTATTTCTGTTTCGTTTTGTTTTTAATCCTCACTGGAAGAGTGAAGATATTTTTTTCCATTGATTTTTTTAGAGAGTGGAAGCCAGCAGAAAAGGGGAGAGGAGAGAGAAGTATTTATATGAGAGAGACTCATGGATTGGTTGTCTCTCACACACACCCTGAATGGGATGGGAATTGAATCTGCAACTCAGGTGCAGGTCCCCTTGACCTGGAATCAAACCTGCAACTCTGCTGCTCAGGCTGATACTCTAACCACTGAACTCACCAGTCAGGGCTAAAGTATTTATTTCACTGATGATTTATATTCTGCTTGTTTTAACAAAAGATCTTGTAAGATTT